GGGGGGGAGGGGGGCACCGTGGATGTGTGGGCTTTTGCGGGAATGTATTTGGGGGGGTTGTTTGATATCCATCTCTGCTGTTGATAGAGGACCTTGCCCTTGGCCATCTGGTCGATATGGGGTCGAATTTGATGAACATATATCATCCATAAAGTACGTTGACTTGGATTGTTTGTTGTTGCAAGGGAAGTAAAGTGTTCATTCACCTGGATGAGTTTGACCTGTATCGCCGTCAGCAGGAGTTCTTCCACTCTCGACGGCGAGAAATGGGGCACACAAACACGTCTCGCTTGTGCCAGTGTTTCGAATGGGATACATACTTTTGTTTCTTTTTTGACCCCGGGTAGACTATCCGACTGCCTGGGTACATGTATGGAGGATAATGCTGGTTATCGGCTTTGCCTCACTTACAACTCGGGTGTAAGTAGTCTTATGGGGAGAACGGGGAAGCGGATTGGATTGGCCCCACGTGATGATGCTGATTCGCTCGACACACGGCCTTGCGATAAGATAAGAACCCAGAACTTCTGTGCTCTGAGCATCATCCGCAAACGCGCAGACTTTAATTGAAAAGGTCGACAGACAGGGCGACTTCTTGTTCCGATTTTACACCTAGTCAGATTACCAAACGGCGTCTTCTTTTTTTGTGTTATAGCAGGTCAGCACACACACACACACACACACACACACACACACACACCGGCAATTCCATCTCACGCGCGACAACAACGCCATGGCGAAGGAGCGCAGCGTCAACCCGGTCCAGGCCCAGCGCAAAGCCGACAAGGCCAAGGCCATCAAGAAAGGTAACGTGGCGCGGATTGTTCTATCCGGGCCTTGGAACCTCCCTGCCAGCTGACCAATCCGTCTCGTCTTCCAGGCAAGGCCGAGGTCGCGAACCGGCGCAACGAGCGCCTCGCGCAGCGCAACCCGCAGCGGCTGCAGAAGCAGATCGACGACCTCAAGGCCGTCGCGAGCGGCGGCGGCGGCAAGCTCACGCGGCATGAGGAGCAGATGCTGGAGGGGCTGGAGAAGGAGCTCAAGGCCGTGGAGAAGGCGCGCGAGGCGCTGGGCGACAAGGCGCCGCAGTTCAGGCAAGGATTTGGAGGTGGTGGCGGGGACCGCGGCGGCGTCCTGGGCAAGAGGAGGAGGGACGCGGAGGATGCGTCGAGCAGCGACGAAGAAGGGGGGAAGGACGTACCCGAGGACGTGAGGCGCATACCCATGCCCAGGGACACGCCGCCGCCGATACCCAAGGAGGTGATGGACAAGTGGTGGGCCCGGAGGAGGGCGAGGAGGAACGACGCGAACGCGAACACAGAGCCGCTGGGAGGGGGCAGGGGCTTTGAGGAGGGGGGTGCCGACAAGGCAGGGGAGGAGCAGCAGCAGCAAGAAAAGGGCGGCAGGTGGCGGCGGCAGCAGCAGCAGACGCCCGCGGTGGTGGCGGAGGCCAAGACGGTGTACGAGGCCAGGCCGATCGTACGAGACCTGAGGAAGGAGGCCACGAGCGCGTTCGTGCCGACGGCGGTGAGGATGAAGATCGACAAGAGCAAGGGGCAAGGGGGCCTGATGGAGCCGGAGGAGGCGGACAGGTTGGAGAGGGAAGGGTACCTCAAGAAGCCTGCTGCTGCTGCCGACGCCGATGCGGCGACCGAGTCTCGCGCCGAGGCTGGCCCTCGGCAGGTCACGATGGAGGAGGTTGAGGACGAAGAGCATTGAGGCGCGGAAAGCGCCCAGATCTCTCCCTCTTGGCTCACATGTATGTATTGCGCCATTTGGCAGGAAGCAATCGCTCGCACAAGTGGATGCTCCGCGAAAAAACGAGGCCTCAAGGTTCTTAGCAACGTTGCATGAAATAAATAACGCAAGATATTGGGACTTGTGTGAGGCCATTATTAGGTCATATGAATTGTTTAGGCCTTGCCATTCCCCCTCCGATGCGGGCCGGACCGAAGGGGCTTGCAAAATTTTTGTGATGCGGCCGGAAAGTCTTCCGGCCTCCGGGAGCCGGAGGTAGAGATTGAGGCCGGAAGGGTTCCGGCCACGAGCGCCGGGCGGGGCCAACGCCCAGAAAAAAAGAAACCCAATGCCTCGCTCAATGCATACAAAGTGCAGAGCTGAACAGAACCTAAGAGCACATGAGTAATTGACTGGATTGAACAAGGGTTTCTTCAATGTGCATTTTCGCCACGGACTGACCGCGATGATGGTATATCTGCACTCATTCCTGATTGATGGAGATCTGGCGAATCGGAAGTAATTCTGCACCGGTGTGTCTGACCGAGCCAAACACACGGTTCAATCAATGTTGACGTCGTTCAATTGATGTTAGTTATGCACACAACTGAGAGCCAAGCACTTGCCTGGCAGGGGCCTTTCCCCCTTCCTGCATCGGGCTTTGTTTCTTTTTTTTTCCCCCTTTCACTACACCCGCATCCGAATAGGCAGGCGTTACCCGTACCGTAGTCGGAGGGAGCTATTAGTCAAGGAAAAGGCGACAGCGGTGGGTACGCCGCCAAAACTGCCAAACTCTCCCACCACAAGTTCACACAACCCACCTCTCTCCACTCTTGACCGCGCCCTTTCGCTCGGCCTGCAGCGGGAGGTGGTGAGTCGATCGATGGACGTAGTTACGTGCCGGGAAAAGCCCACAGAGCACTGCAGCTGTGGCCGCCCTACATAACTCTTGCTCTCCTCCCCAACCTTTTTCTCAGTGCCTGGACAATGAAGGATATATGACCTCTGCAACTCGTCCATCTCGAGAGAGAGAGAGAGTCCTGACGGCCGGCACTCAATTCCTTGCATCACTCTTGACTACTTACTTGGCTGAGTAACACACCTCACAATGCATGGAACCCGCCGGCGGAGCACCGACGATCATGTTGAGCAGCCTTCGCCACTCCACGCCCAAGAGTCACAGACGTCTCAGGAGTCCCAGGCATCGACTTTTCGCGGCTCCGAGATCGACCCCGAGCTGGTAGAGGCTTCCTCCAACTGCAACCCGCAGCTCTTCGTCGTCAGCAGCCGGACGGAGCGCCCGCGCCGGAGGACCGGCGGCGACGAGAAAGATGACCCGCCCGAGGAGACGTACCCCGAGGGAGGGAGGGAGGCCTGGCTCTGCGTGGCGGGCTCGTGGATGGCCCTCTGCTCTGCCCTGGGGCTGATGAACACCATCGCCACCTTCCAGACGTACATCGCCAGCCACCAGCTGGCTGACTACAGCGAAGGGACCATCGGCTGGATCTTCTCGCTGTCCACCTTCATGGTCTTCTTCCTGGGCATCTATATAGGGCCTATATTCGACAAGCACGGCCCGAGGTGGCTCATCTTCACCGGCACGGTCTGCGTCGGTGCCAGTCTGATGCTCCTGAGCATCTGCACTCGTATGTTACTACCCTTTCCCTCCGATGAGGTCACCACGGTGGAGTCGAGATTGTTGCGGCTGACGACTGTATTGACAATTGACAATACAGAGTACTGGCACTTCATCCTCACGTTTGGGGTCCTCAATGGCTTTGGTACCTCCTTTCTCTTCACGCCGTCCCTCGCCGCCGTGGGCCACTTCTTCCGCGCCCGCCGTGGCTTCGCCTCCGGGGTCGCCGCCACGGGAGGCAGCATAGGCGGCGTCGTCTTCCCGCTCATGCTGCAGAGCCTCTTCGACAAGGTCGGCTGGGGGTGGAGCATCCGCATCCTGAGCTTCGTGTGCCTCTCCCTGTCCATCACCGCAAACTTCCTCATCCGGTCCCGCCTCCCGCCAGACCCGGATGCGAGCACCCATCCGGACTTCCGGATCTTCAAGAACATCCCCTTCCTCTTCACCACCATCGGCATCTTCCTCGTCGAGTTCTCCCTCTTCATCCCGCTCGCGTACATCTCGCAGTACGCGCGCAGGCACGGCTTCAGCGAGTCCTTCAGCTTCCAGGTCCTGGCCATCGTCAACGCCGGCTCCTTTGTCGGCCGCGTCCTGCCCGGCTGGTATGCGGACAAGATTGGCGTCTTCAACGCCAACATGATCGCCGTGGCCCTCTCCATCGTGGCCGTCCTGGGCGTCCTCCTCCCCGCCGGCGGCACCATGGCCGGGCTCGTCGTCTTCTGCATGCTGTTTGGGTTCGCCAGCGGGTCCAACATCAGCCTGACGCCCGTGTGCGTCGGCCGCCTGTGCCGGACGCAGCAGTACGGCCGGTACTATGCGACCTGCTACACCACCGTGGCGGTCGCTTGCCTGCTGGACCTGCCCATCGGGGGCGCCATCATCACTGCCAACGGTGGCGAGTACTGGGGGGTCCTCGTCCTGACTGGCTGCGTCTATGTCGGGTCCTTTGCCGCTCTCTACGCCGCCAAGGTCGCGGCCTGTGGGTGGAAGTTCTGGAAGCGGTTTTGAGTGAGCATATATCTCATCAATGGAAAGGATTGGACACAACATAGGGTTTTCACATACGTGGTAATAAGCATTTACACTATTTGGAGTTTGGGAGATTGTCGGATTTCCATGCGTGAATACGATCGGTTTACTGGGGCTCAAAAATATAACAAGAGAGAGAAAGATACATCCATCCGATCTAGCTTCCCAACCGATAGACAGAATGATTGTAGAAGGTATACACACACTCACACACGCATCCGTCTCTCCCCCGCCTCTGTCCCCTGTCCCTGTCCCCTTGTCTTCTTTCCTCCCACTTAAGCAACGACCTTGACGTCGGTGATGACAAAGTCGTGAGGGCCCGTGTACTCCTCCTTGATGCCGGTGCCGACGCCCGACGTGACGATCTGGTCGGCGGGGATGTGGTGGTCGCCCTCGAGCCTGGCGACCTTGTCGTCGTTGAGCCAGACCTTGAGCAGGGCGCCCGCGCCGTCGGTCGCGCGCGTAAAGTTGAAGCTCCACTGCGGCGGCTGGGCGGAGGCGCAGGCCGTGACGGGCACGTCGGCCATGTGCTGGTACGACAGCAGGTTGGCCGAGCAGTTGGCCGTCTTGTCTGGGCCCTGGGAGGCGGTGAAGGTGTAGCTTTTTGTCGTTGGGTTTTGTGTGGTTAGTTGATTTGGGAAAATTGTTGGTGCCGAAGGGGGGAAATGACAAGGTTTGATGCGTATTCATGATGAAGAGTTGGGGATGGCCCCGGACCAGGACCCGTGTTCATTTCTTTGCAAGGGAGACGGGCGGGGGCGAGGGAGGGCGTTGGGTTTTGGAGAGAGAGAGAGATAGAAGAGAGAGGAGAAACGAAAACAACACGAATGACAATGCAATACTCACTAGTTCTGGGACGAATGGGGCACGGTGCCGGCGAAAAACCCGGTGATCTCGAAGGGCGCCGGCTGCATCACGCCTCCCTGGGCGCTGGCGAGGGGCCCGCCGGCGAGGAGGAAGAAGGCAGCGGCGGCGGCGGCGGCGGCGTTGTTGCTGACGGAGAACTTCATGTTTCGTGAGACGACGAAGTGAAAGAGTCCTTTATGATATTAGGCGTGTTGTTGTTGTTGTTGTTGTTGTTGCTGCTGAGAATGGAGCTTCTGCTTTGTTGGAGATTGACAACCAAGCGAGATCGAGCAGGATGCATGCAAGCTCGTTTTTCTCTCCTTCTCATGCAGGATCGTTGTCCCGAGTCTTTATACATCTTGATCCATAACCCCCCCGTGGTGTGCTCATCTCATCTCATCTCCCTTGTCCGTTGATCTGCAAAACAGCGAATGACATCCACAAGTAATTGGAGCACAGCAACCATTCCACCAACAACTCCTCCCTCGTATCTTCTCCGGGGGGTAGGGACACAATGGACCGGCCCTGCCTCGGACCATGACCAGAAAAATCAGCGACGAGCCGGACGGACGACGATCAGAGAGTTGTTTCGTCTCTGGATACCTACCTAGGTAGCTAATGGGACAAGGAATTCCCAGAAGGGAAAGGGTGGGCGTCTCACGGGGCGTGAGTTGAGGCAGACGTCATCATCGCCGGATCGGGTCAGTCGTGCGCGCGCGGACGGTAACACGATCAGCACACAGCAAAAGCCTACTCCGTGCCGCGAAAAAAAAAAAAAAAGCTTGTTGTGCTCTGAACCCACACCCACCCCAGCTTCGAGTTCTCAGAGCCGCATTGGTGGTTTCGGCAGAAGGGTGCCGTTGTGCAAGGGGCAAGGGTCTTTGGATGGACCTCGTATTCCACAGAGACTTTGTCTAGAAGTACGTACTCTGTAAGGGGTCTGTTTACACAGGCGTCCCACCCGGATTACTACGCGGCTGTAAGACATACGTAATGGAAAACGGGCAAGGCCTCTCTGCTTTCTGAGCAGAACAAATGAGAGACAGGTCCGAAAATACCTCTCAGACCCAGCTGTCCACAAAGACGCGGCGCGGCGGCTTGAGAATGGCTTGATTTGCGACAAGTCGGCTTGGAACCAGTGAGAGACAGGGTTGAGGGCTGATGTCAGAAACCGGGTTTCCGGTCTCATTTGTTTTCCGCCAAAGGAGGAAACCACCGGTTGCACAAGGGCAGGTAGAGCAAAACACCCTGTGCGTGCCAATCAAACGGCGATCATTGCAACATGATGACGATAGAGTCCCAAAAGCGAAGACCACGATGGCATTGGTGAGCCTGAGAGGGCTTGAGCTACCTAGAACACCGACTTTGGGGTGATTTGGTGAGCATCGGGATGCTCCCAGACTGGTTCGTGATAATGAGGTTTGTCTGTCTAGGTCTCGAGACAGATTGTTCCTGTGAGGCATTTGCTCTGTGGCCAAGGCTGTCCACTTGCTCGACACCACCTGTGGTGCGTTCCCGACACCAAATAGGCTATCATGGGTCATGTGTGCGACACATATGCCAACAGTTGGCCACCGTTGTTGTTCTCGCGGACGCGGCATGACTTCTCGGTCCAGACTTCACACGGTTGTGTAGTCTCAGGCCGAGGGTGCGCTGGGCAGGCCCTGGGGAGGCTCACATCACCTCCCTTCCCTCGTCGTAGCCAAGTCACTGCTGCTGAACCGGCCTGGGTCCTCGTGTGTCATCCTGGAGAGATCCCAAGGGTAGCAGTTGAGGTTCAGGGCCCGTCACCTCTGTCCGCCATCCGAGCCCTGGTCTTGGCTGGCTTCCCTGACCGACTCCTCGCCGAGGACCTTGCTGGCGGCCATGAAGCTGTGCGGGTTTGTCAGATTTCCCTTTTCTTCCTCCTTGTCCCGTGGTTGGGGGGGGGGGGGGGGGGGGGGGGGAGG